TGGCTCTGCATAAGCCAAAGATTAAAGTTTGACCCATATCTTTCACCATGCACTTAACTATATTCAAAATGGATCAAAGGTCTGAATATTAAAACAGAAACATTGGGGCTGGGGATTTAGCTCAGCGGCATAAGCGCCTGCCTTGCAAGCAGGCAGTTGTGAGTTCAATCCCCGGTACCGATAAAAAGGAAAAAGAAAAAAAAGAAAAACAGAAACATTAAATCTGCTGGGAGATAAAGCAAATAAAACTCTAGAAGATATTGGTGTAGGCAAAGACTTTATGAACAAAACCTTGATTGCACAGGACCTACTGCAAAGAATCAACAAATAGGATCTCACTCTATTGAAAAGCCTTTGCACAGCACGAGAAACCACTAACAGAATGAACAGACAACGCCCAGTGTCTGTGGGAGAAAATGTTTGCCACCTGTTCCTCAGACAAACAATTACTGTCAAGAACATATAAAGAACACAAAATCAGTTCTCCCAGATATAAAAATTCAATCTAAAAATGGACATCTGAGATGAATACACACTTCTCAGATGAAATAAAAACAGCAAATAAATATATGAAAAAAAACGTTCAATATCACTGGTCATTCGAGAGATGCAAATTAAAACAACACAGAGATTCTACCTCATCCCAGAAAGAATAGCTACTATCAAGAAATCAACCAATAGCAAATGCTGGAGAGGCTGTGGGGAAAAAAAGGAACCCTTCTTCACTGTTGGTGGGAGTGTAGACTGGTGCAACCACACTGGAAATCAGTGTGGAGATTCCTCAAAAAAACTAGGATTGGAGGTCCCATTTGACCCAGCTATTCCCCTGCTAGGTATCTTCCCAGAAAAATTAAAAACACTGTACCACAGCAATATATGTGCACCCATGTTCATAGCAGCACAATTTCTAATGGCCAGATCTTGGAAACAACCCAAATGCTCATCAATTGAGAAGTGGATTAAAAAAAAAGATGTGGTTCTTTTATGCGATGGAGTACTATTCAGTCATAAAGAAGGACAAACTTGAGACTTTGATAGGTAAATGGATGCAACTTGAGCCCATACTCATAAGTGAACTAAATAAGACATATATGTATCATATATATATATGATTTCTCTGAGTACATCGAAGAGAAAGGTTTGCACTGATGCTGGTTGTTGTATTTTGAAATTGTTATTTTTTTTTCTCTTTGAAATAAAATGGATTTGAAGGAAAAAAAGAATGAAGTATGCCTTTCTAGTGCAACACGATGCTCATCCTTCCCTGGAGCTGACTAAGCAGTGGTTCTAAACTGCTGAACAGGATAAGCTCAGGGGACAAGAAGCGCGATTCTGCTTTGGACGCCATTATCACCATCACAAATGACAGACTGTAAAATTGCATTTTTGTTACTAACAACTTAATGATGGCACAGAAATAACTATTCAACAATATTTACTAGCTTACTACGTGCTACTTGTAGGCTCTAGGGATACAGGAGTGAGCAAAATAGTCCTACCTCAAACATCGCTACTAGTTACCTTATTAAGAGATCTGTATGCATTTATTTATAATAAAAATTAAATATCTTGAGTTGCTCGGAAGTGTCCCTGTATGCTTTATAAAAACCCTCACTTCCCTAAGATTCATATGTTTTGTTATCGAGGTTTACTTTTTCCTCAAAGCCAGTTTTGGAGTAGCTATTTGGAGCAGTTTGTCTATTATCTTCTTTGCCAGGTTTTAGCCCAAAAGCCTTTTAAAACAGATATGTTTAAATATTCTTGGAATTTGGGCACTTTGCGATCCATTAATAGGATATCCTGACCACTTTTTAAGAACTACCCTTCATTTCTTTCTGTTGTTTGTTTTTAGATGTTTTAAATGCAGTTACATTATCTCACCAAACCTTCTGGAGAGCATTAAACTATTTAATTTCTCTTTCTTTAGTTTATAACACAAAAGGAATTCTACTTGTGGAAAGTAAAAAGTATAGTGTTGCCAACACTGCTTTTCGCTAAATGTAGACACCCCATTTTCTACCTTTCACTAAAGAATACCTTCCACCTTTGACTCTTTTAAAGGCCAGCAGCCACTCTGAGAGCACTTATCTGTTTCAGTCTTTTCTGTGGCCTTCTTTACCAGGGGGCTTCTCTGATTTCCTGACAGCATAGTACTTGCTTCATGGGAATCATTCCATTTAGAGAAGCACAAAGCCTCTTCTAGACTCTTCCTCATCCATGTCAGATTCTGTTAGGTAGACTTCCCACTAGTTTAAGATTTTACTTAACCAGACTTAGTGGTGCAGGTCTACAGTCCCAGTACTTGGGAGGCTGAGGCAGGAAGACTAGTTGAACCCAGAAGTTCAAGTCCAGCATGGGCAACAGAGCAATAACCTGGTTCAAAATTTTCGTTTTGGATTTCCCATAATCTGTCATGCTTTATTTTAGAATATATACGTTTTCCAAAATATACTTGGGGCTGTGTGTGTGTGAGGAAGGAGAGAGAGGCTGATTTTGTAATTTCTATGTTAGCCTTGTTTTCTTCAGAGCTTCTTAAAGGTTTCAAAGATTCATATTTATTCTTAACCTAGTTTCAAATGTTGCCTATGGTTTGTACATTGGATTTGTAAAGCATTCTATGCCTTGAGTAACGGCTGTACTCTCACCTTTCCTTCGGCTCCAAGTATCTCTATATTACGAAGACCTCTATTATATCATGTGCATTGTTAGAGATTTGAAATATCATAACCTTAAGGTTTTCTCCCTTAAGGACACACACACACACACACACACACACACACACACACACGCCTTTATAACACAGCTAGTCTGTAACGTGTATTTCCCCTCACAGCCTATAAACCCAACTACAGACAGTCTCCAATTTAAGACTGTTACACTTAAAAAGTAATTGACCTTACATTGATAGAGCAGTCATAGGTACAAACTGTACTTCAAATTTTGGATTCTGATCTTTTCCCAGCCTAGTGACACATGTGTGATAACTCCCCATGTGCCAGGCAGTGCCCACAAGTCACAGCCCCAGTCAGCCAGGTCATCACCATGGTAACAAACTGATGCTCTACAGCGCACTGGGCTTCCCAGGTGTGCCAGGTGCATTTTGCAGTTAGTGTATTTCCAACATGCAATGGGTTTATCAGGGATGTAATCTCCAATCAAGAAGCCTCCATACTGGCTCTCTTTCCTCCCACCCAAGGCTTCCTCCTGCTTGTGTTGAGTGTGTGCAGGCCAAGGTACAGGAGACCTGGGGAGGACTCTTCATGAAAAAGTTTATGTTCATGTCAATTAGACATAGTATGTGAATAAAATGCTTTGCAAAAACGGGATCCAAGCAATAAACAGGATGGGACAGGAGAAACCTTGGAACATTAGCACAAATACAGTGACTAAGTCTTTTTAAAAAACAAGGTTTGCATAAGAGGAACATGAAAATTTCCAAGGTATCCATTTACACATTTATATCCAAAAGTAAGAAAAAACAGATTATAAGAAATCCAATGTGTAGAGAAATTAGAAAATCATTTAGAAAAACTGTGTAGTAGATTCTGATATGAATGAAGATTTTCAAAAACTGTATTTCAGATGAAGCTTTAGATGTCTCTAAAAACTTTGAAGAAAATAAACATATTGTTATAAAAATTAGAAATAATCCTTGAAAATAAAGCAACTGAAAAGACTTACACTATTCCATGGGTAAGTTACCAACTCCTCTGTGCCTTGGTTTATTCTCATACGGCCACACTGGTTTTGGGGAACTGTTCTAAGAGGAGGATGGAAAAGAGGAAGACAGCTTTTGTATGACTGAGCAAACAGATGGTGTGGACAGCTCTGGCTTAACTGAAGGCCTCCACCATGAAGGAAAGCGCTCTGCTGGTGAGAGCGACTTGGAATATGTTTTTCTCATCTCGGGGTAGCGGTAAAAGAGACTGGAATTATGCAACGCAATGACTCAGTGGTGTTCCCGGACTTCAAACCTCAGAGCAGCGAAGCCTCCTGAAGCTGAACGCTGGTGCCGCCTCCCACCTCAGGTCGCAGTGGGAGAATCTGGGCCACACCCGTTGCAGGTTGTAGCACAGGTTAAAAGCGGAAAGACAGAAGGATACTATTTTCTTTTAGAAATGAGGTCGGTATTTTATTGTTCGCTTGCCTGCAGGAAGTTAATACTGGGGAAGAAAAGGCAGCCAACCCAGAGGCCAGCCTGGTCTCAACACGTGGGCATCTCAACAGGTGGGCATCTCAACAGGTGGGCATCTCTTTTGGAACCCTGTCCACGGTCTACTCCTCTGTATTATTCCCGTGAGCACTCCAGGACACCACTTCGTTTTTCTAAACGAGTTCCCTATCCACCGCCTGGTCTTCTCTTTTGGGAAGGTGGTTACAAACAAATGCTCGAGGTTCGTCCAATCAAACAAAAGTTGCCCAAGGAATCTTCCAGGACCTTGTATAAGAGAAACCATGTACCACGACAGAAACACTGCCACCGATGCGGGTCCTCCGCGCGGCCTCAGCCCGGAGAACGCGGACCCTCTCGCTAGTCGCAGTCCCGCCGGGGTGCCGCCCCGCGGGGCATCGCTCACAGCCCCAGTTCGGGCTGCAGCCCAACAGGAAGCCACGCAGGGAAACTTTCCCTGCGGGCTGCCCCATAAACGAGTGGAGCTCAGGACCGTCCGACGCGTGGGCGGGAGCAGCCCCGCGGCCCGGCTTAGCGACGCGCCCGGGCGGGCGGGCGGGGTGAGACCGGGGAGGATGCTCCGCGCGCCGCCCGGCCACCAGCTGCCCCGGAGTTGGGGGCGAGGCTGGTGCTCCCTCCTCAACCCCACGCCCTACCCCTGCAGTCCCCTCTCACTCTGCAGCCCCCTAAAGCGCACTCTGCACCTGCCCGCGCAGCCCGGCGCAGGGCCACCGCCAGGAGCAGTGTCCAGCGAGCCCGGCTGCACCGCGCTGGCGCGCGAGGCCCCGACACCCCGAAGCCCGGCCCGCGCCCCGGGGTGCCCCCTTACCTAGCCCTTGGATGAAGACGAAGCCGATCACCGCCAGAAGCGGGTGCCAGTTAAACTGGAGCGCGGTGCCGTCCCAGCCCAGCCCCTCCCGGTAGTGCAGGATCCAGACAAACGTGAAGATCACCGACAGCAAGCCGAAGAGCAGCGCCGCCGCCAGGAGGCCCAGGAGGCCCCGGGAGCCGCCCATGGCGTCAGAGCCCCATAGCCCGGCCGCGGCAGCCTCGGAGCTCGGCGAGGGGCGGCCTCTGGCTCTGGCCGGGCGGCCGGGCGGCGACTTCCCCGCGCGGGGTCCGCCCGCGGGGCGGGGCTTCCTGGGGGCCGGCCGGTGGGGGGCCGTCCGCGCGAGGGGGGCCCACCCGGGTCACGCGGCGGCGCGGGCCGCCCTCTGGCCCAGCCTGCGAGCTCGCGGAGGGCTCGAGTGGCCGATCCGGTTCCTCCGCAGAGTCCTCTGAGGATTTCATGCCCACCACTTTGTTGTAACTCTTCTTGCATCTCTTCCTTATTTGTGGCGAGGGCAGTGTGGCATGCTCCTAGTTTTAAATTAAAAGCCTCTTTAATCTAGAAAACTGGCTCTGATGCCAAGGAAGAGTCAAAGAGAAACCTCGGGTAGTGTGGGCAACAGTGCGCTTAGCTCCATCCAGAGGGAAACCACTTGCAGTTGGCTATGGAGAAAAAGATAGCAGGCACCTGGACCCTGGCCTTGCCGGATTTTAAAACTGCCCACCTGTGTCAGAGGACTTGTCTAGCATGCACAAGGCCCTGGGTTCGATTCCTAGCGCCACAAAGCAAACAAAAACGTCCACTTTCCCAAACACTTAAACTGAAATTTCACGTTGGCAATTAATGAAGTGAAGCTGGCTTCCTGCCCTTTCCAACTTCGTCTTCACCCTCTCTGTGGACAAGAACATAGTCAGCGTTACATGTTGCTATTATGATTCCCCATTATGTGGCCTTGAAGCCTTATAAAATTTTCACTTATTAATTAGAAAGGCTTTACTCTGGGCTTTTTGATATGGAAATATTTGAAGCTATAGTATATGAAGTTTTATCCAAATATTTTAAGGAAAAAGACAGACACTATGGTAACTACTATTCTTTAAAAAAAATTATTTAGCTATTTCTTATGTTTATTTTAATTAAGGGAAAAACTTAAAAAATTAGGATATATAGTAGTAACTCTTTTTGATCTCCTATTAACTTGTTTTGAAGTCCTGTAATACTCCCAAGATCTTGTTTTGACTGATTAGACTCTGTTCCATTCTGTGCGATAGTAGCAAGTTTGAAGGTATAGGCAACTAATTTGAAGGCAATAAGATTCACAAAGATGCCCATTGTGGTTTGACTATTGTCTCCTTTGGAAGTCCTGTAATGTTCACAATGCCTAAGTTTTATTGGTCTTGTTCTCCACTGTTTTGTCCGGCTTTATAATATCTAATGAGATGGACAATTCCTTTTAAGGAAACAAGAGACAATGCTGATAACCATTGTTGATGACCTTGTACTCTGTTCTACATCATGTGCTATGTCTATCCTTGGTTTGGACTTACAGCTTTGTTTTGCCATATTTGACTTTATTCTCTCCCCCCCAAGAGAGTAATGAGAACTGAGGAGTAATAAAATCCAAAATGTATAAATTTTGTTATAAAAAAGAGAGGGAGGGGAAAAAAAAAAAGAGCTCTAACGGATATAACAACAAGTGTGTTTAGGGATGTTAAATAGCTGACTATATTAATGTTTTTGGATCATTGAACACAGCTGTTTGCAGTCTCTCCGTTTGAATGTCTACTTTGTATTCTTTGATACTGTGATTTGAGCAACTATTTCCAAGATGATATTATGTAATCTATTAACAGGTGATTTCTTACTGTTATGTTTTTTTTTTGTAGTTATGTATTATGTGTAACCTTACACTGCTTTGTTTTGTTTTGTGTTTTTCTCTTTTTCCTCTTAAATAAAAAAAAAAAAAAAAACCGGACTCTGGCCTGCAGGGCTTCATGAATGCGTTTGGGAACATCACTTGTAGCCCACGGCGGTGGCTTATCTCCAAAGGACTAGTTTACCATGTTGTCTTTTTGTAACCATAAAGACCCAAAAAATGTGCAAGACAGGGTAGGGGTCTGACTTTTCAAAGTGGAGAAAGTAGCGGGGCAGGATTAAAGCGTCTACAGTGACAGGCTACAGACTTTACCTGTGCCCTTGTTTTTTCTTTGGCAGGGAAAATAAGCACATAGAGATGCCTTCCCGGAGTACAGTGCTTCCTTTGGCCTGCCACACCCCAGCTCTACTCTCCTGATCCCTTACCAATCCCTGAATGGCTCTGGAGGTCCTTAGCTGTAGAGCGCTGTCAGCTGTCAAAGCTCCTGACCACTCCTATCTGGCTCCCTGCCTGACCCCACCTTAGCCAAGCAATCCCTGAGTCTCTCCTTGCTGCAGACCTTTTATCCTGGCCCCCCATTCCCTTGGAGCACTTTCCAAAATGAACTGTAATGATCTATTTCAGCGGTTATCTCCATTCACCAGACTGGCTTCAAGGCATGCAGTAGTTGTCAAACTTTCATTGTTAGGTTCAGGGGACTAAATATGGCAGTTGGGGTCCTGTCAGGAAACAGATGGCACATTCCCACTGAGTAATTTAGCAACAGATAGGACTCTTTACATACAAAGTTTCAGAGAGCCTGTGAAAAGCCACCAGGATTCTGCAGTTCCCCAAGCCTCTAGGGAAGAGGATCCCTGGAACTAGAGAAAACATCGGACAAGTGTATTGTCACACAGGCTGTGTGGAGAGGTGCAACCAGCTCGCAGTGACCCCACGCCAGGAAAGACTAGGAAGGGGGACATATATTCCAACATTACCTTCCTGCTCTCTGGTCTGCCAGGTATCCTCCAGCGGCTACTCAGACCCTAACAGAAGCTGAAAGGCTGTGTCATGGCTCGCACAAGTCAGGCTCTCAGGACACACAGCACAGGCCAGGAGGGCTATGGTAAATTCACTGGAATACATACAGTTTTTTTAGGTTTTGTTCCTGAGTGCTACAACCCTATACAACATTCCCCTTTAATTTTATACTGTTTCTCTTCCTCTGCAAACTTAAGCTAGATATTCAATAAGATGGTCATTGTTCTTGTGCCTAAGATTATGCACTTCTTATCTCTGTTTACCCACTCACCCAATGCTTCACTCTGCTCTTGAGTTAATTTTGCTTTGCTTTGCAGCAACAGCAAATAAGTCTCTGAGATTCTAGACCCCATTTAATAAAACACCTGAGGAGAATGGGACATAGGTGGCACTGACAATGTTGAACTGTCTGTAAGGTATGTGTCAAAGAGAAAATTCCAGCTTTAAAATGTAAAGTTGGATGCCTGCCTAGAAACCAGCTCTATGTGCAGGCCGCTGCCAGAGTGGGGACAGCCGGACCGAAGTCTCTCTCCGTGAGTCAGCACCATTTTCAGACTGTGGAGGGAAAGAACAGGTCTCACCAGGAAGCAGTCCCCACCGGGAAACCGTATCATCTTCATTGTTTTCTTGGGTTGAGTTTTATTCTCTTTTGTTTTGTTTTGTTTGATTATGTTAAATCTGATGACATGAGCAGATATTTAAAATATAGCAAGACATATTATGGTAGCAACTTTGGATTTAATATAGGCTTGTGTTGAAGTCCTTTATTGCATTCATTGTTTTGTTTTATAGATTCTGTTCTGTTTGATTTTACTATGTCTGAAGGTATCAGCAGATATTTTGAAGACAACAAAAGGCATTATGGTAACCATTGTTGATTTTTTAAGGTTTTGAAATCCTGTATCACTTATACTGGTTTATTTTGATTGGTTTTATTCTGTTTTATTTTCCTTGGTTTTATCCTCTTTAAAATAAAAAACATGTAAAGTTGTCCTTTCAGGACCTAACTTTGGTAGAATCTATTACTTAGAAGAAGGACTTTTTCAACTGAATATTGGTGTGGCCTAGAGTTAACAACTTTCTAAAAACATTTGTTCAGCAATCAAAGTTTCTTTTAGGAGGCCCTGAGCAGTTTGTCATCAAAGTACTTCATTGGATTTCCCGATATGTGTATGTGATACTAAAAACAAGTACATGCTGACAAAAATTTTTACAGTCCCTGAGGAAAACATAGAGTAAGGAGATAGGCTATGAAGAGGATATCAAGCCCATCCATGTGAGCTAAGCCACACACGGATGTCCTGGGAGCTCACTATCTATTGGGCTTGCATGTGGTAATGGTACATTTCTTCTGGTACTTTGGAAGTCCAGTGTTCTTGAGCAAGGCACTGATAAATTATATAGAGTGGGTTGCTTTTATTGGATAAGCAGACCACTTTTTTAATTTTCAAGGTCTTCCATTCGCCACCCTTTCTTTGCCTATGCCCCTGGAGGCTGAAGTTGACAGCTTTTCTTGTCCTCTTGTTACTACGTGTAGATCCAACAGATAAATTTTAGGCTTTTGTGTCCACAAGCAATGACTTGTGAAGCATACACACGATAGGGGAAAGCAGCTATCTTTGTTCACAAACCGAGAAATGACATACTCCTGTAGACAAATCAGGCTCTTGGGCCCAAGAGCAAGAGAGGAAAAAAGGGCTTGCATGTACTTTGATCTGGGGTTATGTGGAATGCTCCTAAGGTGGCCTCACAACTCAAGTAGGTGGAGTGGGGTGAATCCCTTGGCTCCTCATATCCTATCTGTCTACTCTGGCTCCCAGTTGGTTTTGGCTGAAGGCAATGCTAGCATAGATTAGAGGAAACATAGACTTATCCCACTGTGCCCCCTTGACAAGTCACGGCTTTTGCAGTGGTTGCATTTCTCTCTGCCACATGACTTTCTGGTACACTGTCTTCCACAGCTATAGCTCTCACAGAAGTTTAGTACCCTGCAGGCTTAGGGTTCCTGTTGCTGGTTGTCTCTTTTATGCATTATTCTCGTTGGGTTTTCTTAAGTCTGTACCTTTGAAAATATTTCATGTATTAAAGTTTTTAAATCCTTTATGCAAATCAGTTTCTAGCAGGATCCTGACAGATACAGGTGGAAAAATACATTGACCTAAGACTATTTCCTTAGCCCCATCCCAACTGCCTGTGCCTTCTTAGAACACATTATTATAGGAATGATATCATGATCTCCAAATGATATAGCTAAAATATTATAACTCCCCACCTACAAGATGTTCAATATACCAAGATTGTATTCCACAAAATCAGAGAACAAATTCTGTGAGAGAAAAAAAAATGGAAGTTAAGAGCAGGAAATATTTATTGAGAGAAAGACATCGCCTGCATAAGAGAGACAGGAGATGACCTGGAAAGTGAGTTTCTCACGAGCCCACTTCTCAAAGGAAGTTTTATGGAG